CCCTGCAGGGACTGGAATGCTGCTAAGAACTTAATGTTCTGTATTGCCTATAAGATGAGCCAGTATCTAAACCTGTGAGTTGCTGGGAGAGGCGAGAGGTACGGTGAGCGTGCACCGCACACCATATTACGGCTGGTCAGAGGTGTGATGATACAGCAGTCACAAAACTGATAAGGAAAACACTCATGGGGTTTGGAGCGGTTGTTTCTCCCAGATAACAGGCTCAAGGCAGGCAGGATCTGAGCTTTCAGATTCAATCCAGTTAAATGTTTACGGACAGGCAATAAATTCGAAACGACTTACACACGAACAAGTACACACAGCCATGCACGCTCGCTGTGTGAGGCCGGACAGCTCGGCAGAGCTTGCTCTTGCTCTGCCCTCCGGCTCAGGCGCTCCCGGCAGTTCTGCACAACCGCGGTGCTGCCGCTTTAAGCGGGCGCTTGGCGCCCGGCCAGACAGACGGCCAGACAGACGGCCGTACACATCGGTTCAGAGGTGGGCCTGGCAGCAGCAATGGCCGCAGAGCGGGCAGGGTGCGCAGGGCAGGGTGCTAACAGCCTCCCTTGCTCCGAGCCGCCTGCGGGGATGGAGCTCGTCCCCTTCCTCCAGCGATGCATCCAGCTCCTCCTCTTGCCCATCCATGTTCTTGCCTGCCTGGGCTTATGGGACTCCTGTAAGAAAGTCTTCCCGTATATCATGGCCAAGGTAGCGCCCATCTACAACCATAAGGTCTACAAACAGAAATGAGAGCTGTTCAGCAACTTAAGAAAATTTGCCGGCCCTTCGGGCCAGCTCCTGTTGCTGGAAATCGGCACAGGCACTGGCACCAATTTCCAGTTCTACCCACCAGGCTGCCGGCTGACGTGCACCGACCCTAATCCCAATTTCAGAAAGTTCCTCCTCAAGAGCCTCTCGGAGAACCGGCACCTTAAGCTTGAACATTTGATGGTTGCCTCTGGCAAGGATCTGCATTAAATACGGGACGGCACCGTGGACGTGGTGGTGTGCACCTCAGTGCTGTGCTCCGTGACCAACATCAAGAAAGTCCTGACGGAGGTTTTACGAGTGCTGAGGCTGGTAAGCTGGGGCACCACGAAGGAGACCGGGGATGCCAATTTGGGTTGTGATAAGCCAAGTTGTGTGGACTGACCTACGAGATAAATGTAATCACCTGCACCAGGCCAAGAGTTTATAATCAACCATCATACCCACTTGTCCACTCACAAGTGATTTTCTGTTGCGCTGCTTCGCCTGCAGAAGAAAGAACCGGCACAGCCTGCTTCCTCCCTTCCCCCTCGGCACGACTGCTGTGCTCCACGCACGCAGAAGGTTTGGAGTCCCTGCGAGGTGGTGCCGATTGCCCGGGCAAGTGAGAGACACAGCTACTCAAGCCGGGCAGCCTGGCTCCTGCCCCTGCAGCTGGGCAATCCGCAAAAGCTCCAAGCCCAAAGGTGTTTCAGAAAGCAAAAGAAAAAAAAAGGGGAAAAAAAAACCCCAAACCAAAACCCCACCCAAAACACAACCCAGAGGTGCCGGGAACCAGGAGGAGCAGAGCAGTCCTGGATAAGCAGAATTACCACAGTACCACGGTGGAATAAAGGGAGGGAAGCAGGAAGGGATGTGCGTTGTCACACAGGTAAATTATTAAAAACAATTTCAGTTCATAGTTGCAGTGTGTATTCTCTAGCGATTCTCTTATCTTTAAAGCTTGTCCACCTAAAGCAAGTATTTTCATTGTAATCTGTGACACATTCTCACACTGCTTTTCCAATGCTTTTTTTTTCTCCAGTTAGAATAACTGGGGAAGAGTTTAAATTAAACTTAATTCCGTTTGGCTCCACTGCATAAGTTTTATAGGGAAGTTTTGCTTACAATACTAAACTTGCTTTTCATCTGTTATTTATAAACACGGAAAGACATTGGACAGATGTGGTAAAAGATAAAATTAAACATTGATAGGGTTCACAAGACTGACAATAACAGAACTTAGGCGCTACATATACTGACTGTAGCCTCTCGCCCTGGGACACTAGGTTTCGGCTCGCTCAAGCTCTCTCACATGTTTTATAGACACTAAGAAATAAACTCTTTTCCTTGCTGGTATGTAGGGTGAGGAAATTGTTTATTCACACCTCTCAGACGAGAAAAACTGAAAGACAAGGAAGTTGAAGCCGTTTGTCCAAGATCATCCAAGGCAGAGACAAAAACCTGGCGGCAGCAGTTCCTGCCATCAGGCCGTGCTGCCTCTCGCACAACCCGAAATCGTGCCTAGCAGCAAACGCGTGGTCAGCCAGTAAAACCCACCCCCTTCAACGAAAACCCACGGGAGGCGCTTTTAGAGACTTCACAGTTCAAAACAAACATGAATCTAGCGTGCCCCTGGGAAAGGGGGCTGCTCTTCAGAGAGGTGATAAAAGGCAGTGGGATTACCAATATGCAAAAGATAAAATTCTACATACAGAGGTGAACAACCCTGAGTCCTTTTAAGTTTTTTTTTCTTTTTCACGGCACTGTTTTGCAGGGTGGAGCTTTCTACTTCTTGGAGCACGTGACTGCAGATCGTTCCAGTTGGACCTACTTTTGGCAAAAGGTGTGCGACCCAGTCTGGAAGTATTTCGGAGATGGGTGTTCCTTGAGCAGAGAGACACAGAAGGAGTTGGGTTTTTTTTTTTAATTTCTCAGAGCTGAATTTGAGGCGCATTCATGTCACACCTTACTGGATTCCTACGAGTCCTCATATCATTGGGTATGCAGTAAAATAAATGACCGTGAGCACTGCGGGACACAGGACCTCCCTTCAGTACTCCCTTCATGCCTTATAGAAGGTTTTTCACCCTTACAGTCAGCCCATATACAGCAGCTGGCTACCCAGAATAAAAGTATGGAAAACTTCCTGAGCATCCAGAGCACATTCAAACTGGGAATCACATTCGTTAGATAGGCTTTGCGGATAGAGCTCTGAATTAGAGCTGCTGCACAGGGACCCGGCAAAGGGGAAAGAAGTCTAGACAACGTGTTTCAGTCCGATACAAAATAAAGGAGGAGGCAGCATCTTCAAGAGTTGAGAAGGGGGAGAGGGAGGAAAGGGGACAGAAGATACATGCAAGCAACTACAGAGGGCTAACGTTTTTCTAAGGGCAGGGAATAATACCCAGCCTCTAAGGTTTCCAATACAGGACACATGCATAATAGATATGGCATCAGTACGAGCATTTTCATTTCAGTCTTCCCATTATGAAACACATTTACGAGCAGGCGTTCATTCGCCCGTGCCGGTACAGTCCTCACTGCCAGGACTCTTGTTTATTGAGGGAAGTGCTCGTTACAGCCCCAGTTCACTAGGCACGGTTCGCACTGGCCATTAGATGCTAAAGCATAGATTTAACTTGAAACAGCCACACACAAAGCAAAAACCAGAACTTCTCTTTACACTGGGAGAAAACTGGCATTTGTTAAATCAGACGGCAGAAAACTCATCTCCGCTGTAAGACGCATCAGCCACATCCTTAGTGCCTTTTGTCACGCTCTACTAACATGTTTTACCTGTGCCTAAATTCTTCATTTTCTACTCTCCCTCCAATCTAGATCACACCTTAAAGAGGTCTCTCTTAAAAGCCAGGAGTTTCATTAGAAATGTTTGCCAGTGAAACTCCCCTAGGACACCAAGAGAAGGTGCTGCTCTCTTGGCCGCTGTTTAACCTTTTCTACGATTTCCTGCAGTACAGCAGCAAGGAATTAAAACCTGGTACAGATTATGAGAAAATAATGCATTAATGTCTCTATTTTGTGCTCCATACACATCCAACTGGTCTACACAGAAAGTAAATCCCGTTGTTCAAATTTGTTTCTCTAACGTAGTTGCCACAAGGTGGAGGTATGAAGGTACGAGAACAGAATTCGTTAGTCAAGCAGTCTAATAACGATGCTGCCATATGCTGGATTTTATATTTGCTTTATTACCACTAGAGGGAGGAGGTAACTCAGCGGACAACGGGACTACCTATCACTCAGCAGAAAACCAAAGTTCTCCAGCACAAGTCACAACAGAACTGCCTTTAACAGGGACCTTAGGGCCTCCTTTCCCTATCCCAGGCTCACCTGGAGCAGAGCAATTAAACGCCAGTGGCGAATCCACACTGCTACCAAGTCCACTGAAAAAGCTCTGGTGACTGCAAAGTCGAAAAAGTTTTTCAGAATGCATTTAGCATAAACCAGACCGTTCATTGTTGACACAAGCTTAGGAAGTTAATAAAACCAAGCTGTATACTGTATGCAGCAATTACTGAATAAATAAATTGTTTTATCTCTGTTGCACAATTCCCATCAATGGTCTGAAAGATAACTAAGAAAAGTAAGCTCATTCACTGCAAAGGAGCCCATATGCGCATACCAAACTATTTTAAGTGTCCACAAAGTAGAAAGACTGGAAACTGCTGTTGCAGAGAGAGCACAGAGCAAGTAGCTGACTAGCTCATCCAGCGACTTACAACAGGGTGCTAAATTAACTCCTAAACAAATGCGCTCGAACTGAAACGTTAATCAAGCTGTTAATGAAATGCCTCCAGCAAATCCAGAGTTCAGATTAGTTTCCCTCAGCTCACTAAAGACATGGTAGGGTGGCTTTAAGAGACATGACCTGTAACTGAGATCGCTGAGCACCAAATTAGGACAGCTGATAACATTTTGCCAGTGGTTACACACGAACTTGTACTGCCCAGTTTCTACAGGTTATGTAACAGACTGGCAGCTCCTCTTCTGCCCAGAGCTGGGACACTACGGTAACTGCTTGGTATGCAGTCCTGCTTTCCCCTTCCTTGCCTGTGACCGGACTTTAAAATCAGCTTTAGAGAAAAGTCTACCAGATCAATCCAAGGAGCTGAATATACTTCAAGAGGAACACGGCAAGCACATGAACGCAGCTCTGCCTGAATTCCAAGGGCTCTAATACACAGAAGAACTAGCTTTGCTCAGTACGGATCCTCTGCCCCACGATGGAAATGACAGAGGCCAGCATCCTCTTCCTCCGTGCCTGCCTCACACTGCTTGCCATGCCCATCTACCTACTTTCGTTCCTGGGCATATGGGAGCCTTTCTGTAAGAAGGTATTTTTTCCTTTCTTCTTAGAGAAGATTTCTGCAATTCACGAACGGAAAGCAAAGAAGCAGAAGCAGGAGCTATTTCGTAATCTACCTGACTTCACCAGCCCCTCAGGAGAGCTGAGGCTGTTGGAGATCGGGACCGGCAACGGTGCTAACTTCCAGTTCTACCCACCGGGCTGCAAAGTCACGTGCACTGACATAAACCCCAACTTCCAGCAAGGCCTTTCGAGGAGCATGAACAAGAACCAGCATGTCCACTACGAGCAATTTCTAGTAGCTGCAGGAGAAGACCTGCACCAGGTGCCCAGTGGTTCCATGGATGCCGTCATCTGCACCTTGGTCCTCTGCTCCGTGCACAGCGTGAACGACACCCTGAAGGAGGTACTGCGAGTGCTCAGGCCAGTGAGTATCTGATTAAAAGTTTTGTTATTGCCTTTATCATCTATTCCAGAGACACTGCTCTAAAAGAAAAGTAAAAAAAAAAAAAAAAAGTTGATTTTGAGCTTACAAACCAGACCCTTCCCTACAACCACTTTGCACTGCTAAATGGTGCAAAGCTGTAGCAGCGTACTGGTCAGTCTGTCCTATTCTTAAAAGTAAAACCCTAAAAGTAAGTCTGCTAACTAGAACTGCCACTAATTTTGTAAGTAATTACAGTGCATCATTTAAAGCAGAACTGGTTCCCATGTTGTCCCTCCCCACACACACCAGATTTTCACTGGGTGGGAAGCTCTGATCAAGACTGAAAGTCCGCATGTTAAATAATCTGCTCCAGCCTCTTAGAAGTGGGGCTGATCTACCTATATGACTAAACCAGTCTAATTAAATGCCTTCATTCCCTGTAGTATACTAATCAAGCTAAAGATTAAAAAAGGCTGTTTTGTTGGGGTATTTTTGCAACAGATTTTCAGCCTTTAAAATGGCATTTTCAAGAGAATCCTCTGGGTTGTCAAAAACTGATGAGTTTGAGTAGGATTTATAAATTTCTCTTAGTTTCCTTCGAAAGAAATGACATGCTAGGAACTGTAATTGAAACAAAAAAGACAACAAACTGTTACTATAATAAAAGAGGGATCAAATAAGTACATCCTTCACACTTTTTGAAGAGGCATTTTCAATCTCTCCGTTTCCTGCTTACATTAATTCCAACTGACACCACTAAAGCAGAAAGCGGGCAGGGAAGGGCTGGGAGAATAGTGATGAGCGAGCAAACTGCACCCGCACCGGTCGGTATTTGAGAGGAGGTGGTATGGAGGGAGTTCGGCGTAACCCCAGCGCCTGCAGCAGCTCTGTAAGACGACTTTGTTTTCCCCAGGGAGGTGCTTTCTATTTCTTGGAGCACGTGGCCGCTGATCGTTCCAGCTGGAAGTATTTTTGGCAGCAGATCTGCTATCCGACTTGGAAACTCGTCTTTGCTGGGTGCTGCCTAACGAGAGAGATATGGAAGAATCTCGAACAGGCCAACTTCTCGGAGCTGAGCTTACAACACATCAGCATAATGCTGCCCTGGACGCCCATTCAGCCTCACATCATCGGGTTTGCTGTGAAGTAACTCACACCGCCCTGCCAGGCCTTCTCCCCTGCCCCACAGAAATCCCTTGGCATAATTAACACAACACAGCACAGGCTAATCCAGACGTCCAAATCTAGGTAATGCAGTGAAGGACTTTAATTTTGTTTCTGACTCAAGCATCCAACGAGAAGAGAGGGTCAGTTTTTCTGAATGCCGTTGGAGCCCTCGTGCTGCTGGCCGTGCCTCGCCAAAGCCCAGCACAGCCTGTGAAGGATCCCAGGAGGCTGCAGAATGCAAAACAGCCCAGCAGGCAGAAGGGGGAAAAAAAAAAAAAGTATTAACTCCAGGGAAGTTCTGCCTGTGTCTGGTTGACTCTGGGAAGAAATTCCTCCAAGT